TTATATGCTCAAATTGTGAAAACGTTAAAAGTTCGTCAGGTTTATACAGTTTGAAATAAAATTCGATACCAAATTTATGATCGTATTTGAAATTTTATTTCATATGTCAGTGTACAGTTTATAGATGGACTTTATTAAATTATTTAGGTTTGAGTGCGCAACAGGTTGTAATAGGATTTTTCTAATTATAATCTTAAGAAATTTGTTGATATAAGCTCGCTGCTACTGTATTGCACATTGAATTTTGAAGAAAAGTCCTGAGTTATGAAAATAATAATTTGTAATTATGACTTCCTATAATTAGGCAATGTACTTCAAATACAAATAAGAAAACAATTATAGATTAGTATTTTATTTAAATTAATAAAGAAACTTTATTGTTTGCTTACTAATTTACTTTCTAATTTAACTAATAATAAAGTTTAGACTTAATTGACAATAGATTTTAAATAATAATGTTCAATATAGTTTAAATAGCTTTTAGGCAATTTAAAAATTGATCTTATCCAACCCAATGAACATACACGATTCATAATTTTGAATGAATTATAGTACGGAGTTATTTAGCTCGTAGGCAGCTTCCAAATTATAAATATACAAATTAAAAGCGAAATATATTTTAGGAAGCAGGCATAATTTTCAAATGCAGAAGGCCCATCGCGGAATTTTTATTTGTATGTACAGGCTCACTTTTCATTTGAAAATTGTCTATCGAAATAAACAGAGCCCCGAAAGATCTACGTCTGATTGCACGTATTCTCGGAATATTGTGCTCGCCTATTTGACGTAATCTTCCACTTTATCTAGTGAGTTGAACAAGTGAAAAATGGCCAACAAACAAAAAAAAACAAAAACAAAAACAATAAATGAAAGATGGACGGGAAAATGAGTGTATTAAAACAAAAGGACAACGAGGTTTTTGTAAATACTTCAAATTTGATTTTTCAAAGTATTAGAAGCGATAAAATGGAAAGAATAATATCAATCGCCAGTATAGTACAATTAGCACGCATGGAAAATCAAAAACAAACTATTGCCTGCGTAACATTCAGCATCTGTATGCGCGTGTGAACAGCAGTGTATTTTTACGAATTAAAAGAGGCGGGGCTCCTCGCTTAAGAAGAAGAAGAAGAAGAAGAAGAAAAAGAAGAAGAAGAAGAAGAAGAAGAAGAAGAAGAAGCCATTTTCCCACTCGTCACGCTCTGCGCACTCGTTGCCGCTCGAAAACCTACAGCACGAAAACGCAAGAGGAGCGAGAGCGAGTGAGTTAGTAATGAGTGAGTGAGTGAGTGAGTGAGTGAGTGAGTGAGTGAGTGAGTGAGAGAGGGTTGAGGGTGGGAGCGAGGGAGGTAGGGAGGATAGATTGCAACGGGAAAAAAAAAGAGAGCAGCAAGGCCGAAATGTAAGAACAGCGGATGCGGCACTAGGAGAGGAAGAGGGCAGCGACCAGTGGAAAAGACTCGGGTTATCTCGCCAGCGTACGAGTCGCATACCTAATGCACAATTAGCCATGAGGAGGTACTTTTCCGGGCTCGAGCGAGTGTCACCACGTGCCTTCTCCCCGGACACACGCGGCTCGGATTGCAAGGCGCGTTTACGATAAAAATTCTCGAGGAAAGCACGAGAGAAGTGCTTTTCCCGCTCTCTGTACAATTTCATTAAGGTGCCACTACGCTGGCCCGCGATTACTTTTGCCCCTCGACATTTTTGCCACACACGCTTAATATGTATGCGCGTGCCTATGCGAATGCCTGACCCTGCGGAAAATTGGCATTTTATCATCGCGATGCCCATTGCTTTTAAATGCGCAGAAGAGTGGCCCCGCTTGTCGGTATTTCTTTCGTTTATCCCATTTACCGAGAAATGGAATTAGAGATGGGAATACTTTAAGCATTGCAGAACATTTGCCACAAGTCCACCGACTCTCCTTCTATTAAAACAGGTTCTTCTATAACGATCTATAAGAATATAATTATTCGGGAAATTAAGAAGCGGAGGGTGGGTTTTAAACAAATTTTTTCCTACCAGTTTTATTTATTGTAATTCAATAAGCAGTTTGCGGCAATTGGCAAGCAGCTTTTCGAGCTCACTATTATGCAGTTTTTAAAAATATCGATATTGCAATCTCTGGCAATACTCAACTAACTGTTAATACTTCACTTTTTTCTTCCTTTTTCCACTCTATAATTTACATTATTAATATTTATTTTTAGTTGCACGGTCATTATCTATTTACGTTAAAGTTGCATCTTTAGCCACTCTTCCGTTTTCTATTATGGGGCATATTCCTATCCTATCCTTGAAGCGTAAAGATTTGCACGTTTGATGCGATTGCGTCGACTAAAAAGAATTGGTAAGTCTAGTCGAAGAGAATATGTGCATCAGAGAAAGGAAATAGCGTTTTCCTATCGAATAAATCCCCTTATCAATGCATTTTTATCTTACTTCATCAATTTCGTAATATTAATATGATGTTTAAGCATGCGCACTTACTACCTACATGTTGCACAAGTTGTGTGCGTGTAAATTTCAATGCTTCGTTTAATTGTTCGCATACATTGTTATATTATATATAGGGTTAATAATATTAATATAAAGGGTTATTCGGCTACTATTCGACTATATATTAATATATAGGGTTGCTCGACACGCGTAAGGTTTACTATGAAGATGATGAATTCGTTGTTGTTCATTAGAGCGTCAATAACTAGAATAGTTACAATAATGATGATGATGACGATGACGATGACGATCACGACGATAATGATTATGATAACTATAACGATAATAATAATAATGACAACAACGACAACCACAACAACAACAACAACAACAACAACAACAACAACAACAACGCATAATGCTTAATTATAATATATATTTACAATTTGTTATTTAGTTATAAGAATAATGGTCAGATTTTAAAAGTTTCATTGACAAAATAAATCGTATAAAGTAAAAACGTAATATATAAATATTTATCGACAATTGAATTGATTTTTATATGTCAAGCGAAAAGTGTAAATTCACAGATACAAAAGACACGAAATTTTCGTTTACTTTGGCACTAACCAAGTATATGATTAAAAAAATCTCTAAAAGAATTGCAAATAAATAATAAAGCAAATAGAGCGGCGGCTGTTTTCCCTTTACACTTCCTATAGTCTGTCCACTTATTTACAACTCTTTAATAAATTTTCTCTCGCGTGTGTCATGAGCGTGCCCACTAGCTCCTTTCCCTTTCTCAATTCTCTGTTGTCATTACGCGGTCGATGATATTCCGCTTTGCATGCATTTCTGTCGCGACGCTCATTTTACAAAAATCTCTTATTTATAATCGACGCCACTCTACCGGAATACAATAGGGAGAGGAGACCCATCGTGCAAATGCTTCCTTTTCCCTATTTAACAAAAATATTTATGAAATACCACGGTGAAGGAGACGAGCACGATTATCAAAATCATTGGCTTATGCGCCGTAAAATCCATAACTTCGACGCACGCTTAGCAATAACTAAAATAATCAGCGAGAGCTGATTTATTTATTCTAATAGAACAATTTTGTCAAATCATAATTAAGCAAAGTTCACGGACGAGGGGGGTATAATCAATGAATTTTCTTAAAATTAATTAATGCGCGAGCACGTCAAGGCTTCAAGCACTTATTTTCACATATCGGAATCAATATCAACAGACTTCTCGGTAAAGTGGAGTCGAGTAATAATTAGGTGAACGATAATAAGGCAAAGCTCGGGCAATAATTGTCTATCCGTCGTTGAATGATGGTTAAAAAAAAAATTTTACGGCACTGGGAGCGTCGTTGGGCTGCGCGAGCGTTAGAATTAAAGGAGGATAGAGAGACCAACGGTCGCATTTAAAAATCTTATGGTGAGTAGCATGGCGAATGGAGGGCGAATGTACGACGAATGTACGACGAATGTACGACGAATGTACGACGAATGGACGAAGAATGGACGACGAATGGACGAAGAATGGACGAAGAATGGACGAAGAATGGACGACGAATCGATGGCCCAGGGGCATCGGCCGCGATTTTCCCATGGCAGGTGAAGGGCAACGAAGGTGACGCTGATTCGGCGGAAGATTCAACGATTACCGATAAATCAATAGGGAATCGCCCGGCCGCAGTCCCGACCTCGAAGCTCTCGGGACTCCCGCCCTACGTAGCTCGGCGCCTCTCGCTTACCTCTTTCTCGCCACTGACTGGGGCTGACAAACCTAGCTCCTGCGCCCGTGGCTGTGGGGCCGCCGGGAGTACGAGGTTCCGCGTGCCGCTGAGCCACACGGGGAGAGGAACACACGACACCGATCGCGAGCGAGTCGCACGAGACACTCGCGCCTCGACCGCCGCGCACACAACCCCCGGTCTTTCTCGTCGCCCCACCCCCGGCTCGCGACGCTTCCGCTTCCTGCCGGTACGCGCGCGCGACCCTCGCCCCCTTTCGCCGGCCGAGCTCAAGCCACCCCCTGCGCTCGGCAATGCAGATGCCTATTTCGTCGCCCCGAAACGCCACGACCACCGACGTCGTGACCAGCAGCGTTAGCCCCCTCCCCTAGTACCCATTCATGCGGAACTTTTTTGGACAATTCCTTGTTGTTGACCGTGACGACGTCCGGGTAGGAAGAGCTGCCGATGCTCGCGGTATCGCCTCTCTCTCTCTCTCTCTCTCTCTCTCTCTTTCTCGGATCGCTCCGAGTGGCAAGAATAAAAGGGGTGGGACCGTATACGTTGATGAGGAGGGAGGGGGTAGCAGACCGGATGTGACGCTATACCTGCGCTGAGCGACTGGACGAGGAACCATCCCGAGAGCATCGATCCTTGGGACGGCGAAGCGCAAGCGCCACGACGACTTTAGAGTCCGAAAAGCTTTCCCTCGATCCTCGGAGCTTCGGCTTCGTTGGTGCGCGCGCACACTTCCTCCCTACCTCCACTCATCACTCACTCACTCACTCTCTCTCTCTCTCTTTCTCTTTGAGTTTGCATTGAAATTCTTCGATTGCCATTGCGGTTGGTCGTAGGAAGGGAGCGCGAAACCGGTGGTAGTGGCATCCGTCAGATATGACGAATTTGTACGATCAACATCGAAGCAACGAAGAGGCCTCGCCGTCCTTTTCCAGAACCGCCGAGGATAATTTATCCAACAGTGACGGTCCGCTGATCGTCGTTAAGAAACGTGACAAGGACTTTAAGCCCCCGAGGTATAACGCTCAACCTTTAACGATTTTAACTCCTTTCGTTGTTTCTCTTCTCCACGAACTGCTTCACATCGTCGACGACCCCTCGCGAATTCGCCTTTCGCAATCATTTTCACTTACCAACGCATACGCGTGATTGAAAAATTAAAATTAAAAGCTTCGTTGGCATAAGCACGCCAACTCATTGCTACACACGTCAATCGTCGACTATAGGCTGCCCATTTAAGTTAATTAAAAGTATTTTAACGCATTGGGGAAGGAGGTGTATGGATGCGCAATGAATAGAAAGAGTCAATGATGTTGGCAACTACTTTGCTCTGCATAACATCAGATGATCTCTATACAATGCAATTAAGGAATCCAATAAGACATTACAATTTGAGATGTCGTGAGCTTTAATTACAATATTATTATTATTATCATGATCATCATTGTTATTATTATAATTATTATTATTTTTTTTTTTTTTTTTCTACAAAATTTTTATACAATTTTACGGAAACTTGCGATTTCAGACAGCCAATGTACTCTTCGGGAAAATTGCTGCAGCAGGACAGTTGGTACAAAAGTCGTGATACCAACGATAGCCAGTGCTCAAAGGACGAAAAAACAAGCCACCAATGCGTTTGGATGTTAACTCTTCTTTTGGCTGTTATTGGCTTTTGCAACCTTCTTCTAAATTTCACGATTTTGATAGTGCTGAGAGTAAGTCAAGGAATGGAAGCTTTCGAAGTAATTCCTGAACAGGATTTGGTTAAATTTTATGGCAACACTGATTTAGACAGAGTAAGTTTTACAAATAAATTAACATGTATTTATTTTGAAAATGTTTGATAAATAGCTTTAAATTGAAACTCACTTCCATATTTCCGTTTAAAAAACAAACGTTTGACAAATTTACTTTATAGGTATGCCTACATAGAGGTATTTGTGAAGGTTTTGGAGACGAGCCAATTGAGCTTATAGGTGATGGCGGAGGGGTTCACATTCAAGTAGCAAATCGACAACACAGTATGGCCTGGTCTAATTTACAAATACTTAAAAATGGAACATCGATTTCTCAGATTGAATCCTTCCAAATTAAGGATCCCCGGAGTGGATCACCGATCTTTTCGACGGAGTTTCCAAACTTTGGCCTTCCACAAGGTGTACAAAAAATTGAAGTCGGCGTTACTCAAACCCACAGGATCGCGGCGCCTAAGAAGAGCGATCTGTCTATAATATCGGATGATTCTATATTCTTGCATGGAGCGGAAGGCACAAGTTTCGACTCTAAAAATATTATCTGGACAGCAAAAAATGATATATTTTTACGCAGTCGAAATGGCGATATTGTCATTGATGCCAAAGATAACATTAATTTACCGCAAATTCCAATAGCATCAGCTTTTCTACCAAGTCCGTCGAATGATGTTCAGGATCAATATAAAGTCTGTGTTTGCATGCCAGATGGGAAACTGTTCTTGGTGCCAATGCATAAAGGAATTACAAAAATTAACTGTGCGAAAATTTCAAGATCTATGGATAGTGATCCATGCGCTATATAATATACGTGACAATATTTTTAAACATTTCTCACATAGTCAGTATTACATATCATTAATTTACATATCGTGTATTGACATTTATATTCATATTATTTAATTAAACAATTGCTTACGTTTTGAAATATATTTAATAAAGTTTTTGGTTAGTAAATGAATATTTTTTAATTGAATATAGGAAACGACTTTATTATTACTCGAATTCAAAGTTATATTGTTATAAAAACAATCATTAGCAAAAAAGCGTACACGTAGATATATATATATATACATATATATACATATATATACATACATATATATATATATATATATATATATATATATATATATATATATATATATTTATTTATTTTGTATTCTTCTAAATTATTGGCTTGATGTATGAGCATGTGTTTATACTACAAATTTTATTACGTTTAAAAACGGTAAGTGAACAAAACTTGGAGGCAATCATGAAATATATAAAATTTGTCCACAATTCGTTCGTTTCTTATACAATAAACTTACATTATAAGTCTGCCACAATAGTTAGCTTTCATCGACATTGTCAAAATATTATTGTGTAATAATTTAAAGAAGAGAAAAAAAAGAGGAAAAAAAAAGGAAAAATAAACAAAACCATGGAAACTAATATAAAGATCTTTGCACATTATCATAACCACGTGAAACTTACGCACTCTCAGCAATCATTTCTTCGTTACTTTCATCCATATCCTCTTGTTGTTCCTGTTCCGTCGGTGGCTCATACGCTTTTTCTAACGGACTCGCGACAACACCACCTGACCAGACACTCATTTCAACCGCTAATTTGTTTCCGCCTTCCAGTAATGGCCTATATCCTCCATGTGCAAGGACTCGTAGCAAAGTCTGAGCTGTTAAACAAACTAAGTCCTGTTGCTCTAAGCTCATGGATGTATGAACACGAATACTACCACCTTCGCAAGGATCCGATATACCTGAAAGATAAATATAATTAAAGTATAAATTTTAATGCCTGATATGAGCGAAGAGAAATAAAAAATTGTTGCAAACTTATTTGCGAGAAATTATTTATAGAAAGTAGTTGATTGAATGAATTTGGTGAATATAGAGGACTTTACATAGGTTGCAGACAAAATAATTTTCTCCTTTTAACACTTCATAACATTATTCCGTTATAATATCCTTATTCGTACCCGCTGATCCTGGAAGGAAGAGTCCCGATGAAAGAAGTTGAAGTACTCTTTTATAAGCCTGATTGATTGGTAAAGCTTGCCTGCTTGGATTATTCATTATAGCATTATGAGCTAAGACATTTAGCATCCAAGGCGATAGCGGTTCTAGTCCTTCGAATCTTGTTCTTAAATCTCTTAATAAGCGTATTAAAACTTTGATACTGGAATGGTGAGCATTTTCTTCGAACCAACGCGAATGTCTAATCGCTGCTAAATGACCTGAGTAAAAGCATTTCAAAGTAATGTCATAGCCTCGTGTCATTGCACATCGAGCAATAATGATGTTTAATAAGAATTTTAATCCATTTAATTACCTTGGCATATCTTAATATCTAAATGTTGATCAGGCTCTAATTTCCGTAGATTCTGATGAAGCGTTGTTATTAAAACGCGAACTGTCGCCTCGTTACTCGTTATATCCAATCCTCGTTCTGTTTGAGTTAATCTAAAAGTTTCTTTTGGACTTTGTACCTTCAAGTCCAATTGAACTTTGTTACCAAGTGCTTCAACGGCCGTCTTTGTTGGTAATGTCTTAAGAATGACAACAATATCTGCAACATTATGGCCTTTGATCATTGTTCCCATTTTGAAACTACCTACTTGACGCACTTCTTCCAATTGCTATAAATAAATAAAAATTAAGTAAAACCGCACAGAAATACCATATTGCTATTACATTTAATTTCTCTTAAATCATGAAGCATTTGTTCTTTGAATTCTGCTTTACAAGATCTAGTTTTTGACAAGACTTACGCAAGCTTCAAATGTACCGGGTGCAACAATTAAATTATCTAACACAGTCTGTAGTTTGGCAACTAAATTAACAATAGAGGTTTGTTCTTTTGGCGTTGGACACATGTCTGAATTCTTTTTGAGTAATGCGGCGGTGAAATCTGCTTCGTCGGGTGCTGGCTTTACTCTGGGAAAAGCACCGTCACATAAGGTTAAATCGAATGGATGACGAGGCATGAATATCCGCTTAGGAAGATAACCCATTCCACGACCCATTCCTCTGCCTCTAATTATCCCGCCTCTACCACGCACCATCTTAACTGTTGGGTAAACAACGACGGATAATATCCAAATTAAAATATACAAATAATGTCCAAATAATGTTATAAGTAATAACATAATAGCTAAATTGATAAATAGCTTAAGTAGTTAAGTAAGCGATGGCCTTATATTAAATAAAATGCATTGAACTTAATTTCTCAAACGCTAGTTTTATCGCTACACGTACTTTCTTGCCTATCAATGCTCCAGACAATATTTAAATAAATAAAATTACAACGAACAAGTGATTTCGTTGATTATATTGTAATTTAAAAAATAATAAAATTATCATTAAATAACGTAATCGATATGTCTCGCCATGCAAAGAAGTATAATTAATTGGGCGATAAATTAGATATTTAGAATTAATTGTTATTTCCAAAATTACTGATAAGCAAGTACTTTAAGTATCGAACCATAAGCAGTGTTTACAAACAATGATTTGCTGTAAATTTAACATACAATTCATTTATTTCTAATAGAGGCCATTTCCAATATAACATTCGTTTCTACAACGTAACTTCCTTAGTCCAGCAAATAATTAAGAACGAGTAAAAACATTGAATGCTTGTAGTTTAATAAACATATGAGAAAGCGCTTGTTCGCGATGTACAAACACATGGAAGAATAAGAAATTTGAAAAATCCACATAAAGCAAAGAGAATATGATATGAATAATTGAACTTAAATTAATTATACCTTTGCTAAAGTTTGAGCATATATTAGGCGCAAGACGCCAAGTGACGGCTAGCGTACTAATTTAGATAGAGCGCGATATAACCAATAACCGCTACAACCTAACCAATACCATATAAAATATTTACCCATTATGAATCACACGTGCTTGGGATTGCGTTGCTGCTATCAAAAATGCGTTCTCGTTCACTCTGAAAAAGAGAAGTAACAGGGGACTGTAAGTAAAATAATAGGCCAAGAGACGCGATAATGCAATCAGCGGGGCGTTGTGAAAATCGATAGACATGTACACTCTAACCAAAAATCATGACGAGCGCCGGTTCTCGAAAAAAAACTTGTATCGCGTTAAGATCGTAATATGAACTGTAAAACTAGACGTTGCACTGTCACCATTAATACGTCCACAGTCTACTTACCGTTTATCAAAAATTAAAACGCCAATGTTTGTACTACTAATCGATGTCAATAAGACAGTATTGGTTGAAGTATTGTTAAGAATTAGAATGCCTTGCGCCTCGAGAAGATGATTCAATGCGAGACAACTGGGGGCGTTCTCAAACGCAGATGGCGCTTTCAACGTATTTAACTCGAGGGTCTGACGCCGCCGCCTCCGCCGCTGCCTCCGCCGCCAGCACACGTATGTTGTGCATTGTTGTGCGAAGGCTGAAGGCACATGCGATGCGTGCAATGCGCGAAAATAAAGTCGAGGTGAATTTTTATCGAATCGTTATTTATTTTGTTGTTTATTGTATTGGTCGTAAGTGACTGTTTACATTGTTCGAATTTGATTGGACGGTAATGCAATGATACGAGGCGAATGGAATTTCTGTTAATTATAAATTCGAATTTGATATATCAAAAGTTTCGAATTATTTTTCTGTCTGCGCCGATGATGTACGACAATTTAGTTGATTATCAGCGCGACGTTCGTGTAATTTTTGAATTCGCTTAGCCAAAACAAAATCGTAACAGAGCTCCCCACTTCAGCGGCAGTATTGTCATCAAATTGAAAAAAAAATCTTTCTTTACTTATCTTTACTGAATTTAAACTGAAGAGCTTACGCAGCGTTTATGGTGTGAATAAAATTTAAAAGGACTAGAAATTCACTACTGTGAATTTGACTAATTGGAGTTACGGGGGACGTTGGATTTATGAATAATTATTGTAGGATTGTAGAGGTATTATTACTATGCCCGATTATCGTTTGTTTTCATGGGTAAGGAAACAACTGTCTATATTTCATTGTTGAATGTAAATTATTAATATTTGCCTCTTATCTTTGAATAATATGATTCTGTAATTAAAATATGTCGGCGGGTAAATTTCATTTCTATTTGGTAATTTGCACGTGCGTATTGTGATAGTGCGCTTGCGCATTCTAACTTACCGCGCTACAATTCAAAAAGACCGTACGAACGGTAGAGAAAGTCTTTAAGACTTTGATTTTTAGTTGTTTGCGGAAGTGAGCTTTAGTGATATTATCTTTAGCCCGAGACATAATATTTAATGATAAGATCATAATTAATAAAAAAAAAAAAAAAAAAAAAAAAAAAAAAAAAAAAAAAAAAAAAAGAAAATTAATAATAATAATAAAGTTTGAAAAGGCTTAATTAATAATCGTAGGTAATTAGTTGTAATAGGCACAGACTTTTATCACCAATTGTTTACATCAATTAATCTTTCTTCTTTCATCAAAAAAATTTATAACAACAAATTATAGATCGTAAATACGTTAATATCTTAACACGGTAAAATGTACGTAGGGTGCAAACTCGCACGGTCAGCTCGGCCTCGGCGATTTTAACAAGGACGAACTAACGATAGCGGAAGAAGTTTGCCTGACATCCGTGAATTTAAAGGTGGAGCATGTGAAAAAGATCGTCGGTGGAGCGGGTCACACTCTTCTCCTGGACAAATTTGGCGGTGTCTATAGTTGCGGCTGGAACGACAAGGGTCAGACTGGACTGAAGAATGCTACCTCGCGCTTTCAGAAGTTGGACGGTTTCGATGGTGAAAGGATCGTGGACGTAGCCTGTGGCTGGGACTCGTCAATGGCAGTTACGGACAATGGCGACTGCTTCGTCTGGGGCTCAAATACTTACGGACAATTAGGCTTGAATTCGATCACGATCGGCACCAAGATCGAAAAGCCCCTGAAATTGAAATTGAATAGTGCTGTTAAAGGGATATCGATGGGACTGAGGCATTCGGCTTTCATTACTCGTGACTCGAGACTTTTTGTTAGCGGAGCTGCGACCAAAGGTCAGCTTGGAATTAACGTTCATGGCGTCCGTTTTTCCGACAGCTTTTCAGAAGGTACGAATTATGTTCTTGCATTAAATTCAAGACCTTAATGAATTGTGAAATAATCTTCTTGGCCAATGCTTAAGATTGTTAATCTAATAATTGTTTGTCGGATTTTTAATAAAAGTATTTTTTTATTGATATGTTTAGTGTAAAAGCTATGATTCGTTGATTTGTAAATTTGTGAAATTTACAAAATTCTATAATAAAACGAATTATAATGTAGGCATTGTATCGGCCGATTACAATTTGTGGTTAAAGTCAAATAAATCTAAGTCAACAAGCGTAAAATGATTTATAAAATTCATAATCTTTTTCTTAAATACTTGGACGTTGTTGACATTCGAATGGGTGACTTTAAAAATGTCATTTAAAAACGTCTCGGATGAATAACGATGCGCAACATACTGATAAAACATATTGATAAAAGAATATATGTGTAAAAGATTTAAAAAGATTTTCTAATTCGATATCTTATTCGACAGTTTCAGATTTGCAACCAGTCAAACATGTTTCTTGCGGGCAACACTATACCGCAGTTATAACAGCAACTAACGAAGTGTTTGCCTGGGGTGATAATAAATATGGTCAATTAGGAATTGATCCATCGCTACACAAACGAACACTACGACCAATTAAAATTGAAAACATCGATGGTTGCAATAAAATTTATTGTGGTTGGACGCATTCGATTATTTTAACCAGTAAGAATAGCCATAACAATATGCGCAGCCCTTTTACTTTTATTAAATTGTTATAGATAAAAATGTAAATTATTATATCGCAGATGATAAAAAAGTGTTGTGCTGGGGAAGAAATTCGTATGGTCAATTGGGTCGTTCGAAATCTACCTCGACAACTGAATTTTGGAAACCAAAAGCCGCACTGGCTTCGATAACGATTAATCAATTATCAGTAGGATCAGAGCATAATATCGCGCTTGCCGGTAACGTTATAATTACATCGATACCGATTTTCAAGACTAATTTAACGACAATTTACCGAATTAATAACTTTAGATGACGGGAGTATTCTGTCTTGGGGATGGAACGAGCACGGAAATTGTGGAAACGGAAGCACTAACGATATTTTCGTACCCACTAAAGTAAATGTGCCTAATGGATCGGCTGTGATGGTGGGTGCTGGTGCGGGCCACTCGTTTGCAATCATTAAAACAGATCATTAGGAAGAAGGAATAAATCAATAATCAAATTACACAAGCGGGCGCATATTTTAATTTTATATTACGTTAAGTTATTAGTAGTAAACAAAATTAAAAAAAAATTGCTTGAATAATGTCGTTACCTTTGATTTCCTTTCATCGATTCCAATGACAAATAAAACAAACAAAAAACAAAACAAAAATAATAATAAAATTGCACAAATCCTAATAACAAAACCCTGGGCAACCGAAAAATACAAAATTATAAATTTATAGAACGCCATTATCGAATTCAGGGGTAGAAAACCAAGCTGCCATACATCGTACGGCACACGGCTCGCCTGGTTACGCGTAGGGGGTGCGGGCATAATAAAAGCACCACCTGCTGACAGAAGTCAACTGTTATTCATCGGTGTTACACACACGCGCGCACGGACTCACGCACGCACGGACTCACGCACGCACGCACTGTACATGTCGGTGGTTCGTTGAATTCGTTCCCAGGCAATCGTAACAAATCGCAACGGCCTAGTTTTTGACGTCCCGTCAGCGTAGACGCGATGTTTCGTGCGAGATCGCAACATAATATTGGGTAAATTGCGCTCGTACGCAGCCTCGCACATCGATGGCACATCAATTCTAATAAGTGACTATCTCATGTTCTTTTGAGCAGCAGCAGCGAGCGCGAGGCGAAATTCGTGCAGGAAAGGATTGACGTTGTGGAGAAGCATTTCGCAGAGTTCTGTACGATGTTCGCAGCTTACACGAGGAAAGCAGCCAGGTGAACGGTCTACCTTACCACGACTTGTTGGCCATTGATTTTCCGTTTAAATATCCGGCGTGCGTGTTTCATGCAAATAATTTAATTTCATTTACGTCAATGCGCCAGCATAATCGAGTGAAAATAACTCGAGACTTTACATTTCACGTAAATCAGAGGCGGGATGGTTGCAAATACGCAAGGGATGCAATTTTAATTTCTATAGTTATTCAAAGTGAATTTATGTTTCTTCTTAGGCTCAGAGATAAGAACGACGAAGTTGCTAAGACGATACAAACATATGCCAACTCGGAGGAAATAAATCGATCGATGAGTACGTGCCTCGTGAACTTTGCCAACACACTATCCATGATCGGTGATTACAGGTAGATAGATATGCCATTAAAAGAATTTACAAGAAGTACAAGTAATTGCTTGAGTAATTGCATCAGTCGTAATTTTGATTTACGATGCTGAATTTTCAGGGATGCCGAAGTTCAGAGGCTTAATTCAAAAGTTATTGGCCCTTTATCACAATATCAAAACGCTTGCAAACGCGCTAAGGACAATGTTAAGAGTATCTTTACCGCTCGAGACGAGGAGCTTAAACGTAAACGTCTATTGGATAAAATTCGGGATGAAAATCCTAAAAATCAACAGAAAATCGTATCCTTTTAAATGCAAAAAAAAAAAAAAGAACAGAAAGAAAAAAGAAAAAAAGAAAAAATAAATAAAAATTAAAAACAACGGGTCTTATTATGTTTACTTTAAACGATTAAGGCTTAAGATTATTTGTTAAACTTGTATAAGCTTATAATTGCTATATGAATCATTTTAATTAATGCTTCCCATCAAATTTAACCTTCAAAATAATTTCTTTAATTAAATTGTCGATTTAATTAGTCTCAAGCTAAGTCTAACTTAATGAAGGCAACGGTTGAAGTATCTCGAGTTGTAAAAGGGCTTGAGGAGCAAATTGATTCGTTTGAAAAGCAAAAACTACATGACTTGAAAAAAATACTTTTAAATTTCGTAACGGTGCAGCTTAGCTTTCATGCGAAGGCTCTGGAACTTTTTACAAAAGCTTATCAAGACGTCGCAGAAATTAACGAGGCACAGGATCTACAAGTAATAAATTTTTAATAATATAATAATTCTATATCTATTATATCACTAATACCTGCATATTAACAAATGAAATTATTGATTTTTTTTTCTGTGTGTGTGTGTGTTTTTTTTAATACGAATAATCACGGAATTAAATATTTTTTATCCTCTCGATACGCAGGACTATCAAATTACGAGAAGAGAAATTAATGGGGTAACTTAAGATTATTGTACAATATTATTGTGTAGAATTAAAACAATTTTCTCCAAAATGCAACATACATATAATAATATAATATGATTATTTAGGAATTTCGTGGCCTTATGAAATCATCGGAATCATTTACAAAATTAAGCTCTATTAAACGATCTGGTTTTCGTCAAGCGCATTCATTAATGAATTTACATAATCAATTCTCACCTTCGCCGGCAATTTTAAGAAAACAGAAACTAAACAGAACTACAGAATCTTTGGTAAATACCATTTATTAAACATAGTAATTAATATATGCATAGTAATTATTATTGCTAATTATATTATAAATTAAAATATTCTACATGAATGTGAATTGATTTGATGTCTATTTTAGGATTCTTCCAAAACTGGTCATACAAATTCATCAGATTCTGTACAAGTAGAAGAATTTGATGAGAGTTCGGAAGAATCTGAAGAATCCTCTTCTATTGAAGAAAAAAAATCCGTGAGATCTAGACTTAAAACTATGTAACTGTAAATTACTAATTGATTGCTTTTTCATGCTATTTTAGAAAAGAATAGCTAGAAACGAAGACAAGCAAAAAAAAGCAAATCGACTAATTTTTAGAATGGTACCGTCTTTGCCAAAATGTCAGAAGAACTTAACGCCCTCGTTGATTAAAAGTATCAATTATTATTAGTGCTAACTTATATAAAGCAATATTCTTTTAGGTAAAATGTTATTAACTTACAAATGTTTGTATACAAAGTTTTCGCGACATGTAATATACAAGAAGCGGACTATTATGTTAGAATTATATTGTACTCGGTGCAAATTATATAATTTATGATCAATTGATTAATCCATAATATTATGATGTAAGAAAATTGGTGAATTATTTTTCAGTGCCATCTACTCCTGCTTGAGTCATAAGATCAGCAATGTTCTTTTCCAAATCATCTATTCTATTTCCCATTTCATCTAGTACTTATAATTAAGGACTTATGTAAATATTTGCATTAATCTGTATGAAATTAGTATAGAACAATAAAAAGACACAATTTAATATATAAAAAGAAATAAATTAATGAATAAATGAATGAATAAACGAATAAATGAATCACTACCAATCATTTTATACCTTATTTAAACATAATGATTTTTAAAGAAAAAATTCACAAATGCCACGGTGATTTGAGGTTATGTAATTAATATAAATTATCGTTATTAATTTTGTTACAAAAGGATATTTCTATTGATAATTTGATCCGACATTGTTTGAAATTTATCTTGCATACTCTGTAGTAGCGTTTGTACCTGCGAAAAATATATGCAAAAAAGTAGTTGTATGCAACAATGATAGGTCGTACTATCGTATATAAATGTTTCGCCAACAGAAGGCGACAATTGCGTAAAAGCGTAAAAATATTTCTATAAAGCTTTATCACTCGTTAGCTTACGTATTGCGTTAATTCCTGCACATTTTTCGGATCCACATTATTTCCCATCGAATAATTTTCTCCATCCTCGGGTTTATGCTCTGGCTTTACCTCGGCCATCCTACGATCATTAAATCCACATTACTTAATTAATAATACGGCAAAATCAATGCATCAAGATTTAACGCGTTAACGAAATTGAGATCACCTCAAAGATTTACCTTTTAAATGTGAATGCTATGAGAAAAAAAACGGAGCCGGGCTTTTTTTAAATACTGTACACAACAATAGCGGTACCTCTGACGTCGACGTGTGCCGTTCGACGATGGCGTCGTTGCACTTCCAATTTTTATTCGACTTCCCTAGGATCCATTGGCCAATCTATTTATATTATTTTCTTTGAGCACCAACTTTTCACGTATACGCATACGCATGTAAAATCAGCTATTTGTAAACTAATGGGCATTTAATAGTCTTATAAATAAAGAAAAATTTGTACGAGGCACTACTCGCCCGTGAACGGTAAAAAATTTTTCTCACGAGACGGCAATTGATTTAACAGAATGTGACTCAACAACCATTGCGACATCCATTATTATAATTCATTTGTACACTTATACTATATATTAAACATTACATGCGCATTGATATTGCCATTTGCGTGTTTAAGCGATAAAAAAAAAATGTTTGGACATTTTTTATTGATTGGGAAATGAGTGACCGTCGGGGAAAATGAATTTGGAATAAGTATGAGCTTTCGAAAGGAATTAGTAAATTGGTTGTAAAATTAATTAATAATCCGTTTATATTAACAATGTTTTATTAACGATAGGAGAAAAGAGTGGCTGGGCCAAGTGAGTGACAATGAATTGTCTCTTGAATTTATGTCTCATTATATTTGAAGGTGAAAATAATCCCGACGCCTCGCGATGCGTATCGTCTGCTTGACAAAATCCGCATGCGCGCACTTTCGCACATTTTACTTTTGACTTTTAATGACAATAGTGCGTCATTGGCGATAGAGCGATGTCTTGACCTACGCGACAATCATTTATTTTGTCTCGAATTCACAATGTTGATTTTATGCACGAGTCAAATAAATAAGGAAGTCGGTATCATTAATTTAAGTAGATTGGTGGAGACGAGCGACTGACTGATCAAGCTCGAGTAATAATCTAATAATTCTCAGAGCTTAAAAATAGACCTTAAACATCGAACGATTTTTATATATTGTGAGAGGATATAACGTAGTGTATTTGTTACTATTGACGCGAACTGTAAAGTATGCGCTTAGGATTAGCAAACATTCTGATTTTCTTATTTCTTACAATATCACTGACATACACCTATCATTTCAAAGCAAATCAACGATCACCTGTTATATTAAGTAAAAAAACTCTTTTCGTTATGGACAATATTTAATCAATTTTATCAACATTATTAATACAGCAGAGTTTTATATTCGATATTAATTATAGTTCCAGGAGATGGAGGTAGCCAAGTTGAAGCAAAAATCAACAAAACTTCTGTTGTGCATTATGTGTGTGAAAAAGTATCGTCAAACTTCTTCAACATTTGGTTGAATTTGGAACTTCTAGTTCCAATAATTATAGATTGTTGGGTAAATGTTTTACATTAGATGTCGTTATATATAATTTTTATGATCCATTGTAACTATAAAGTATACTTATCAATTCTTAGATCGATAATATGAAACTTCTGTATAATAATGAAACAAGAAAGACTACGAATTCCGATGGGGTGGAAATTCAAATACCAGGCTGGGGAGATCCTTTTGTAGTGGAGTACTTGGATCCCAGTAAAGTTTCTCCTGGTTCTTATTTTAAAGATATTGCCAATATGCTGGTCAAGGATCTGGGATACATTCGCAATGTTTCTTTGCGCGGAGCACCATATGATTTTAGGAAAGGGCCGAGTAATGAAATATCTATGAAACATTAAGATAATTTAGTCTTTAGCTACTTGTCGTTATATATCGAGTAATACTTCCGCATAATGAGTCAACATTTTTTTATATTCATCAATTATTTTTTTTATTATTTTCTTGTTCCTAAGCTAACGCGAATGCTTATCGTTAGTTAAAAGTCAAGCTAGTACTTAAAATTCTTCTCTAGAGGATTTTAAAATATTACCTTAAGGATTTAAAATATTAAAAATAGACTATGGAATTTCATTTTTATTTTTAAATTGTTATTTAAATGATAGTTATAAAAAATTCACATTAGCTATACAATTACAATGACACGGCTATATCAATTTTTAATTTTATAATAATCTTATTATTAAAATTGTAATTATTTATTAATTACCTTTTGTTTTACGAAACTTTTATTCCAGATGAAAATAATGAATATTTTGTTAAGTTAAAGAGTCTTGTTGAAGAAACGTATGCAATAAATAATAATCAGCCTATAACTATGCTGGCGCATAGTATGGGAGGTCCAATGTCCTTAATATTCTTACAAAATCAAAGTCAAAAATGGAAAGATAAATATATAAAGATGTTGATTACTCTTGCTGGAGCATGGGGTGGATCGGTTAAAGCTCTTAAAGTTTTTGCAATTGGTGACGATTTAGGGGCTTACTTATTACGTGAAAGTATACTTAAGGATCAGCAAATTACAAGTCCAAGCTTAGGATGGTTATTACCATCCAAACTATTTTGGAAAGATAATGAAATCCTTGTTGAAACGCAATTAAAAAATTATACATTCGCTGATATGAGACAATATTTGATGTAAATTTACATTTCATTAAATTTTGTATTTTTATAAACGAGCTTATGTAAATATGTTTTATAGGAAAGTTGTACTGTTGCAGAGATATAAATGTTCCGAATGGTTGGGAGTTTCGCAAAGATAACGAAAAATTTCAACTAAACTTTAGCCCACCAGGAGTTGAACTTCACTGCTTGCATGGAATAAGCGTTGACACTGTTGAAAAGTAATGGCAATTAAAATCCAATGCTTCATAAATTTGTTAAATACTATGCGCAGCGTAATATTGTTATATTAACATTGATCTTAATTATAATATGTGTGTCGTAGGTTATTTTATAAGCCAGGGATGTCAATAGATGGTTACCCACAATTGATAACAGGTGACGGAGACGGCACTGTAAATTTAAGAAGCTTAAGAGGCTGTACATATTGGAATGACAAACAAAAACAAAAAATTTACTACCAATCATTTCCGCGCATAAATCATATGGAAATTTTACGTAACAGTACAGTACTTGATTATATCAGAAATGTTTTAAAATTTTAAAATTAAGCTCGGTCGTTAAAATTCAATTTTGTATGCCTCGTGAGTCAGAGATTAATTTGCATGGGCTATTATGACTACACATATCTCTTGAAATTATTCTCTTTTACGTATTTGAATGATTTTTTAAAATTCTAAATAATTTTTATTACGAAATACGACAAAAATATAAATTCTTGTAATACTTGTATTTAATTATTGCAAATAGTTTTTAATACTCATATGATTTGTAAAACGTCTTTATTTAATGTTGACTGATTAGAAATATAACCAATAATTTAATGCACTAGTGTAATAATTTTGACAATTTTATTTTCAATATTGTTAAAGCATAATTTATTTACATTTAATAATATTTAGGAATAACAAAAATATATTTTTACAAATTTGTATAAACATTTTATTCAGATTTTATTAAAAAATACTCAAGATATTGTACAAATAAGAAAATTAACATTGATAAAATAAAACTTTAATAAACAATAAATACCTTTATACTGAATATTTATATATTAATAATCTATTATCAATATAGTACATAAAATATTTTTGACAGAATATATAATTATAAATCTAGATTATATGTACATAAAAAATGTTTTACATCTGTCCATGTTACTATTGGTATAAGTTTCAGTGGTTGGGCTATACGAAGTAGAAATTATAAATTGCACCTCAAGTTAGCATTCGCTTATACTAAATACAATAAAGGCAGCAGAGGAATGCTAGAGATTTTTAATAAAACATTTATCATACAAACATCTTTCAAACATTCGCCCATAAATTACATTGTACAATTTAAATTCAAAGTGCAATAAAATAATTGTCTCTGACATTAAAAGAAAAAAAAAAAAAATATATATATATATATAATAAATAAATAAAAAAAAATAATAATAATAAATTCAAGTCCATTTATCATCTTAAATTAAGACAAGAACTAAATATAATTTTTCAATAAATTATATTAACTTAATCTTTGTAATTGTGTTCTAATGTATTTATAAATGTCACTTGTACCTTAAAGAACCTGTTTTTAAATATGAAAAAAAAAAAAAAAAAAATGGAACAACCGATTAAGAACTTTTTAACATGCTGTATAAACCAAAAGCTACAACCGTTACCACTGTGATGGCCTTATAAGTATTCATGCTATTAAAAAACTGTGGCTTTATGAAGTACATATTAAACTTTGGATATATTCGGTTTACAACATTAGTCTGCAGCTTCTTCTTCCACTCTTGCTCTTTAAGCTTTCTTTTGGAATCGAAATCCCTGACATCGTTGTCTATCGATTTCGGCGGATATTGTTCATAGAGACTTAACGTTTCATTTAAGAGATCTTCGAACGGCAAGTCATCGGGTAGCTACAATTTGTGAAATATTTGTCCCAAGTGCTCCGAATAAGAGCTCGTTTTGTAAATTATTGGCAAGTGTGTTGTAACTTACTGTACTCAAGACTTTGAACATGGGACCCATGTCTGGTATTGTATCGAAAATTTCTTTATCTCTGTATGCCACAATTTTGGTGCTTAAATACAATGGAATTAAGGGTGGACCTCCAAGAAAGTAATCAAACAGTCTGTGAAGCAATTTTCTATTCTCGGCATACTTATGCGCATACCATGTTGTATATTCGGCAAGAGCAAAATGTGGAAACAATTCTACGCTGTAGGAAAGAGAACGATACAATAACAATTAACTACTTAATGGCTCGCTCATTAAATCTGATGAAATAATTACTTTTCCAAGTGCTCTAAAAGCTTAGGATGCTCCCTATATAATAATGCAAATATATAAAAAAGCTCTTGATTTACTTTTTCCATTGTTTTCTCCATAAATCTCTCTAAAAATAGTAATGAAATTTTTTCCAAAACATAGAGGCCCTGCTGTAAGCCCATGACTATTAGAACAGTCGCCGCCACATCGTTATATCCTTGATAATAGCTGGAATATTGTCAATACGTAGTTATAAATCCAAGCTGATATAAATAAGATATCAAACGATTCTGGCTGCACTCACTTTAGCTCCTCGTGCTTAGACAAGACCCAGCATATTATTTGAGTCAACTCTTTTTGAAAATTCTCCATGTCCTCCTCGGACGTATCCACTGGCATATGGCCGCCGCTACGCGCGACATCCTTCAAGATTTGCTCATACACTTCTATGTCTACGAACATATGAATACTGTCAAGATCGTTGATCACCTTGAAATCCCTATCCATCAATCTCAGCAGTTTTGGCCAAACGAATTTTCGAACATTGTCTAAAAAGATTATTAGTAAGATAAAATGGAAGCCCATTGACAATTAAATCAAGACCAGGCCAAGATCATTAATTAGAGGTAAGTGCCAAAACTTACCGTGCACTAGCCCCTTGGAACTAAGGCGCTTTAAGTCGGTAAACGTTAGATTTGTCCCTGTTAAAGTTCCATTTATAATAAAGAGTTTTTGTTTCTCTTCCTCTATTATTAAATTAGCGTCAATTAGAATGTTTATCAATGGTTACATTATTATAAATAGATAAATAATAAGTGTGCTCACTCACCTGTTGAATGTAACTGAGCAGTGACTGGAATTTCAGGAATAATTCCATTCTTCCATACCAAATCCGAATCCGAAACCGAATCCCACATGGTAAATCCAAAATTTCTTCTCACATACCTCGGATATATACAAGCGTCGTGCAAAACCGATTGAGAACGCAGAGTGGATTTTAAAGATCGAACGTTTTATCTCGTGCCCTGATAACTATCGCGATTAGCGCTCGATCTTGTACCAAAGGATGCCACCAGCTGCAACTACGTATCCGCTAATCCGCCCGACTCGCACTCTCCCTCTCTACAACGAAACGACTGCTCGTAATTACCAATTACCGCAAAAAAACAAGCCAAGAGACAATCGACCAGCTTGAAAAACAACTACAAACCTAACCCCTTATCCTGCCTCTTCATTTGTTCGACAGTCTCGGTGGTGCGTTTACGCGCACGCAATCAAAAAGTCCGGTAGTCACGTAATGCATCGATATCTCGTCGACGAGACTTTGACGATTTCACTTTAACGTAGACAGACGCAGGTGGCCACTCTCCCCGCGCACTCCTCTCTATCCAGCAATATCTGACCCCGAAAAATAGTCCTAATAAACCCACCACCGCCACAAAGTCAGACAGGAGACAAAACGGCTGAATCTGTCAGAAATTGTGATAACAATCGTGGCTTTCTACAGTTACGGGATAATCACTACTAGCGAGGGCGTACCTCACTTAATCCAAAATGAGTGTCGAAGCTCGAGGCGGAACGTCGTTGGCACGGGGAGCGCGGGGGGAACCGAACGCCAGACTCCTATCGCTTCGCCTTAAATGATAGGTGCTGCTGCTCCTTCTCCTCCTCGGCTTAGCGACACAAAGCCGCGCTCACCCCACCCCATTACACGAGTGCGCAGCGCAGCCAGCAAACAACACCGTGCGCGACTCGCCGCCGATAGTGTGTGTGCGCGAGAGCGGGGTGAGGTCGAGAGGGAGAGAGAGGGTGAGAGATTGAATGGGAATGAGTTTGAGATATTGAGAGTTAGTGAAGAGAGAGAGAGAGAGAGAGAGAGAGAGAGAGAGAGAGAGTGAGAACGCGTGGCGGCGGGAGAGTGTGGGACGCTGGTTTAGAACGGTGGCGACGCGCAACGCGAAAGCGACAAGGACGCTAGGCAACAACAGCGCCACCAGCGCCACGGCGGACGATCATAACGCAGTTAAAGAGAGACTTGGCGCGGTGGGATTTGTTCGCCATCTCCGTGGACGTGGAAATACCGTTTGGCGCGACCCGCGCTGCTCTACCTCCCTCTATTTCTGGGCGCGCTGCTTTGACAGTTAAGCCCGGAGCCCAGATTTACGAAGTAGTCGTGAACATCAGGGTGGGTGGTATGCGTTCCCTCGGGGTGGCGCGCGCGCCATTCTCAGCAATGCCGTCCTCGTCGTCGCGGGGTTGACTGGCCCCACTAGTCCCCCAGTCATCTTCGTTCGCCGTAAACGCGCGCGCGAAGGCCAAGCGAGGCGCCTATTTATAGGTTTTCGCGGCACAAGGTATGTCGAAAATATAGTGGAGTCGCCGCGCAACCGACGTCTCGCACAGCACCTTTGTTGTCCGTTGGATGCTTGATCGCGCGCTGCTATGCACGCACGATCGCCGCTTTTTCATTGATCACGCGACCGCGATCGGTGCTGGATCGAGCGAGGGTACGAGACTGGGATCGAGGAATTATGGTGTTGCCCTATGATTGGCAAACGACGAAGCAGAAGGTCGCCCAAAGGAGTCAATACCTGCTGGAGATGGGACAGTGGTACTGGGCCCTGCTCTCGCCAGTTTGCGATGTTGTGCATTTAAAATATGATATGCCTATTATGTAAATTGTTAACGATGTGTGTGTGTTGCGTTGGCTTTTCAGGTCGGATTGTCGGTTCATTGTCGGCCAAGAGCCCAATCAACAGATACTCGAGGGCCACAAGGTATTCTTGGCCATGTCGAGTCCGGTGTTCGAGGCGATGTTTTTCGGCGGTATGGCGGAGAAGAGCGATCCCATACCGATAAGGGATGTGCAGCCGGAGGCGTTCAAGGCCTTGCTCGAGTACATCTATACGGATCGAGTGGACCTTGGCTCGTTCGAGCTCGCCTGCGAACTCTGCTACTGTGCAAAAAAGTACATGCTGCCCTTCCTCGTCGAGGAGTGCACAAAGTTCTTGTGGTCCGACCTATCGCCGAAGAAGGCTTGTCGCGCTTATGAGTTTGCGAAGCTGTTTGAGGAGCCGGTGCTGATGGAGAAATGCCTGCAAATCATGCGCTCAAAGACCAACGAAGTGATAAACGAATCTAGCTGGGACGACGTCGAGCTGGAGACTATAGTGACGATTTTGGATCAGGAGGAGTTGCACGTCTCGTCGGAATTGGATTTGTTTAATGCTTTGGAGAAATGGGCCAAAGCGGAGTGCCTGAGAAAGTCCTTGGACACGTCGGACCTCAAGTTTTTAAAATCTGTGATAGGCGACACTTTGACTAAAGTTCGATTTCTCACCTTGACACCCCAAGAATTTGCAGAGGGCCCCGGCAAGTCGACCATGTTGACCCAGCAGGAGGCCTTCGCTCTTCTCATGAATATATCGTCGCCCAACAGCGACGAGCCCATGCCCGAAGGCTTCTCCCTAAATGCCCAGAGTAGGGCCAATTTGCCGAGTGCGCAGACTTTTGGTACAGATTTCTCCGTAAGTTATAAGCCTTAGCGGTCTGTTGCGATGTGGTAATGCGCGCGTAGCCGTCAACGCCGTCTAACGGCGCTGTTACTAATATCCTCTTGTCATTGACTTTTAGAAGAAACGATCCCAGCCGCTTACCATTTTAGAATGGCCTCAGTACGACTTAGAGGAATGTCCGATTAATTTAGTCACGTCTTCCTCGTTTCTTCCATTTTCGATTACAGGAGAGCAATCCAGCTTGGTTCAAGAGCCAGTCGCTTTACGAAGACACATGGAGGACAGCAGCGGTACTTCCCAAGGAAGGCCATTGGCATTGATTAATAACGAGGCACGCGACAGTCCAAAATATTACTGCGTTCGATCTATAGAGCAGCAAACAGAAATATACAATAATAACATTTTGGACAGCACTGTAACTTTCATTGTGGACAAGAATATTTGCGTGCTCGGTTTGCAAGTGCCGTCGCAGATTCTAAATATGGTACGACGTCGTTGAATTTAATGTAGAACATTTTTTTAGAAACTTGTTAATATTGAAAATTGTTTGTTACTTTCGCAGCAAAATAATATCCAACCTCCAAAATCATCGTACACAGAAATATTGTATGCTCACCTTCTTGATTCCTATGGCACACGGTTAACGTACACCCATTTTAGTACAAAAGTTGTCGTTCAAGATTTAATCGAAGTGACATTCAATCGTCCAGTTTATGTTCAAAAGAACAAGGTTATTGAATACATATACAAATAATTAATTACTATGCCTAAATTTCATAAATTCTTACGTTCAATTAACGCCTAAATAAAAAATTCTCTTCCTTACAGTTGTATAAAATAGGAGTTGTATTCAATAGAGAAGGTTGGTATCCACTAGCAAGTTGCAGCCAACATAAAATCTGTGATAGTGTTTTATTCAGTTTTGGTGGTGGAAATACAGTAGACACAATTCGAGATGGTCTTATAAGATCTATAATTTTTACTTATCGTTAATTAATAATTTGAAAATTTAATATAAAATTTTAATTAGGTTTGTGATAAAAAAAAAAAGAAAAAGAAAAAGAGGAAAAAGAAGACTAATGGCGTTTCTATGAAAAGTGGAAATTATTACTAATTCGATTTATTCTTCTTTTTCTTCTTTGGTAATAGAATATACTATTGAAGATTTATTGAAAGGAAAACAAAAAAAATCTTTGTACAAATTTTAATGTATTTCATTGTTAAATGTTAACGATCAAGTATAAAAATTATAGTAGGACGAATTTCTGATTTTATTATTTCTTTTATTACATTTAACATGATTTGCTATTCAGATTTTGTAAAACAATCTTTTTAATATTTACATATTTTACGTATCGATATATATATATATATATATATATATATCTTTTTTTTTTTTTTTTAATGGTGCCAATTTTTTGTACGTGCAATATTTAGCTACTTTTAGATCATTTTAAATTTAAGAGATACTTTGTTTTATAAGCATATTATTCTTGTTAAACTTATTGTATTTTACTCATAAACTTGTTATTTACAATAAGATAGATTTGGTATGAAATTATATGTATTATAAAATAAATAAAACTAAACATTAAGCCCAGTCTTGTTATCGTGTAAATCGCAGGGAGCTATCCTATTTCACTTTATTCGCTATTATTTCAGCAAATTTCTTGCCCCACATACTTGATATATCATAAGCAGAAATATCCGAATAATGATTTACGCCACTGATGGCTTCGGTTGGTAGTCCTGTAATGTACAATACCCACGCAATATGGACGTTCCTATATCGAGGTCAAAGAACAAATACAACATTGTTTTTCCGAGAGAAGTTCTTGTGAAAATTTTATTCTATAATTTATAAAAATTCTAATACCTTTAATTCATCGCTCATTTATACGGCTAAAATTATACAACTACAACCGTCCAAACTTATTACGTAATTAGTCAATTTATTATTTCTCAGATTAACAACAAGATGGCGGATTATTATCTCGGCAATGTACACGCATAGAGATAAGTGTTTGCTATCGATATTTTCCAAATTTTTAACATTGTTTTTAATAGTGTTGTTTCTCTCGGTTTCAAAACGTACGATAAGTCATAAAATACTGGTGAGGGTGACGTCTGGGTGGAGGGGGGGGGGGGGGGAAAATCATGTATATCAATATAAAATATAGTAAAAATGACATTCAAATTTAAATTATTCACTATGTTTGTCGTTTGTGGTGATTATGTATAAGAAATAAGTTATTAATATTGTATTTGGGGGAAACGCGTTTGGAAATATTTAACAATACCCTATCCCCGTGAATTATAATGTATAAACGACGCTATCACTTTTATGATGAAAAGGAACAGGAGTTCTGAACTCGGTTAACGGGAAGTTGATAATATTGATTCGAAAATATAGGTAGCGAGAAGAACCTGATAATAACTAATAACTCCGACAATGAAACTAAGCAGTACTTTGCGCGTCTAATGTTGAACATTTTGTTTTTTAGAAACAGACAGTTTGTGGTAAACTATCTGCAATAATTGGGTACAATATCTTTGAATTTAATGGGAATTATGATATTATCTGTTGCCATTATTGAAAATTTAAAAAATCAAGTTATTAATGAATCATCGAAGAATTGATTTATTTGTATTATACATTTTTAAATAATTAAGATTATGTTAAAGCAAGTACTCGTTTTCTTCATAATATATTCATTTAGATAAAAGAAAATTTAAATTAAAAACAATTATTATCTTTCGTAACATTTATACATCTTATCATTAATTATATTTTAGATTTATGTATATGTTTCAAATTTTTTGATATAAATAATAATGGTAATCAGGTTATCAACTCAACTTTAGCTTTACTTATAAATACAAAAATATTTCTGTTATCTGGCTTATTTTTCAGAATTTGTTTAATAAAACTGAGTATTGGAAGAAATAAGGTCACTACTATACATCCAATAGAGTAACATGTATAAGTTGAAGGAAAAAAAATTCTGAAAAAAATTGCCATCTGTTTAATAGTTCCGTGTAACGTTATAATTAAAAAAAAAAAAAAAAAAAAAAAAAAAAAAAAAGAGAGAGAGTTCGATAATTAATAGTAACAATGAATAAAAAATCAAATTGTATATTATTAAATATGCAATACTTATAATTTATAATATAGTAAATTTAGATGATTTATAAAATTTTTATTTGTTTATGTTACAAACACAAGCGAAAAGATTAAGAAATATTAACATGTTATTTCAATATCAATAATAAAATACTTTGGAATTTTTTAATCTTCGCAATGTTAATATTAATTATTATAAAATAATATTTTAAAAATTCTTTCTTTTTTTTCTTATTGTAATGTCGTCGAATAAATTGATAATAACCCAACGTATGATTTCTATAAAAAAAAAAAAAAAAAAAAAAAAAAAAAAAAAAAAAAAAAAAAAATGGTGTCTGACACGAGATATAAAATCGGAACTTTTACAAATGATTAAATACATTTACAATTAAAATATACAAGGGAAATTTATTTTCAAAGAGGATAAATCGAGACAACACAGAAAAATTAGTTTAATATTTAAGTACGAACAGTTTTCATAATTTTGTTTTATAAAAACCATATCAGCGGTGGTACTATTATTACTATCTGTATAATTTTTTTTTTTTTTATTGTTATGCTTTAACAGTAGTTCGAGAACTAATATAATTTCCGCATGTCTATTTACACATAAACGAAGAAATTATACTACTCGAAGTATACATACCTTAAATACTTAATTATGCATTTATTAGACGATATTCAACATTTGAAACATAAATGGACGCGTCACTTTATTTTTATTTTTATATATATAATCTTTATCATCGTTACCAGCATTATAATAATTATGAATTTTATTATACAATTTATGGAAAAGGATAACGAAAAATCGACCCTTCTCTCGTTTTTTGTTCAGTATGCGCGCGTAAAAATGAAATTAATCTGGTGTCGCGTGTATTTACACGCACAAGTAATTTCACCGACACACAATTTTTCAAACCCTCTTTCATCTCGTTGTAATAAATTCTATACAATTCAACAACAAATACGCGCGAATAAACTATAAAATTGTCAAAGTAAACTGATACGCGCGATTGCCAAAATCACTTAATATTTTCTCTCGCCTTTAATAATTTTAGAATACTCGATTTTAAATTCTTGTCATTTATTGTTGGATTTTTTTTTTTTTTTTCATTTTCATTTTTCTATTATTTATTTTATTTTATTTATTTATTTATTTATTTTTTCATCATAGTTTGTACAGTATAACTAGAAGTGCTTAGGTAGTGTCGCGTAATTCTGACATCATAGGCTGCTTCATTTACTTTACCTTATATTTTGCTGTTGGTTATTTATGGTCAGTTGCAAATGTCGAGGCTATGTACATATTATTAAGAAATTGTGCTTTCCGTTACGTACAAGCGGTTAACGTATTTTCTTTGTATTCGTGCTATGTGTTCGTATTGTAAGATAAGTCTTGAAATTTGAAATTTTATCTCGTAATGGTGTTTCGGAGCCCTGTAATCATGGCTACTGCTGGACAATAAATCAAGATGGCGAGATAAAAATATCCTTTTCAAGACTCGTTCTTAAGCCAACGGAACTAACGAGTCCAGTAAAATCTACATTTTATTTGCCCTTTAATTCGAGATTTGATCTTTATGTTGGAGTGACTAATGCGAGCACCTCTAGTATACTCTTTGTATACTGTAAACGCGTGTACGATACGCAAAATTTTCATCTAACAATCGATTGCTGAAAGTTCATACTTTTTCGTACGCGCTCGTGTGTATGCGTGTTCGTGCGCGTATACGTTTAATATTTTTGATTTTCATTTATGCTCGTATGGTAGCGTATTTTTGATTGTTTTCTAACCATCTGCTCGGTTATTTGAAAAGTCGAAAAATTTGCACTTTATAACTCTACTCTTTATATCTCACTGAAATAAAATGTCCCATGCGATTTGCGACGTCAACGATAACCACAGCAATTAACGTTATCTGGCACTGCGTGTTTGCGTACATTTTTTTTTTTTTTTTTTTTTTTTTTTTTTTTTTTTTCTTTTTTTCCCTAGCCGAGCCTCTAAACAATGCAATTTAATAAGCTAAACAATCACGCAGTCCATGAATTCAATTCCTTGCATAAGCTACATACGCGCGAAGACATCCTCATCTTATCCGCGATTGAATTTACCTCTAAGCGAATACAGCCGCTTCTGCTGTCAATCTCACGAGCCTTCATTCGTATGCTTAAACCTCAAAAACCTGCAAAAATTCGGTTTTTCGCATCGAAATATCAGTTGGTTATTTGGCACCGGGGTTGGTCATTCTATTTAAATATTCGCCTCAGCCTAAGTAAATAACGATCGTGTAAATTGCTTTCCATTTTAAAGTCAGAGTCTCTTTGATTGATAGTTGAACAAATGAGAAAAATGTATACAAAGAAAATTCGCACAACTATACCGAGCACTCGTACGTGCGAATTTAAGGGAGAAATTGTGATAAACGTCTTTCGAATAGCGTAGAGATTATTATAGGTACGTAATAAGATAATACACCAAAAATGAATTCCTTTCATCAAAGTACAACTTCCTTATAGTTTATTGAGAAATGAATTGCTTTCCGTGCACCGAAATAAGCGAAACGACTCAAAATCAGATATCGCGCACACTGATTTAAAGAAATAAAAAATAATTTATTATAAAATTTTTTATGAAGCCCAATAAGTGTAAGTACTTTTCTGATTGTGGAAGCAATCGTTTTCATTGGCCGTAAGAAAGTTCATTCTCGCTGAAAGGCGCAAGCTCCAGCAATATCGTAATGAATAAAAAAAAAAAAAAAAAAAAAAAAAAAAAAAAAAAAAAAAAAAAAAAAAAAAAAACATGCACACATTAGAAAAACTTGAAAAAGCTATTTAGCCGAACGAATAGAGTGGAGCCAGTTCACATTTGGGCTTCTCCGTGCTGAATCGAAATGCATCGCAGCGATATTCAAGTGTATTGGAGGAGGAATTGAGGGAGGGAGGAGCGTACTGGAGAAAACGGTGATGAGACGAGAGAAACCAGAATTAGACGGAGATTTCCTGGATCTGAACGCGCTTTTTGGCACAACCCGGGGTGCCGGGCTGCCTCAGTATACCCGGGCAGATCATAGAGGAGGATGGGGCGGGTGACTTGGGTGGGGGCGGTGGATCGGGGAGGTCCTCCTCATCGAGGTCGTCCATCGTGACGGCCATGGTCGCGTCGATGCACGGAGATGGGGTTCGTGCCCGTTGTTGCTGAGGACTCGGGCAGTAAAAAGCGTTTTGGCCGCGATGTTCGTACTCCTGTAGCTGCATGTGTTCAAGCTCGTCGACGAATTTTCCCTTGTGCCCGGGGCTGCTGCTAGCCGGCAACTCCGCGAACACGAAGCTCGGGAGGCTGCGTTTGTTTGGGTGCGCGCCGCCAATGACTGACGAGTCGCGGATGATGCCGCCAGCGCAACCGATCTCCAGGAGGTCGTCCATTTTCTTGCCGGTGAGACCGGAGCTGGAGCTCTGCTGCTAACCAATGCATTGCACTCGTGAGCATCGATATCTTTACCCTCGTCGCGCTTATAAAGCTTATAGATAAAGCTTGTAGCTTAAAGCGCGCGATATCTCGTATTGTAGGTGACAAGATGGGCTTACCTGACCAACTTCCGTACCAATTGTTCCCGTTTTGTCGCGCTGATGATAAATGCCCGCGAAGATGAGAATATTGAGCAGCAAAAGGAACACGCCAACCGCTATTGTTACCGTAAGTGCAGTTGTGTAGCTTTGATAGTGGCTAGTAGCTAGTTTGCGCAGGAGATTGTTAGGTCCGGGTCCAAGATGCGGATGCTGTGCATTACTGGAAATAAAATAATCTCACATTATTCTTGTCCACTTAATAACTCTCTGTTTGATCCGCTTGATCGTTCGATATAATATCGTTTAATAATGTAGTGCATTCTCTTCTTTCACTTTTAATTGTATTGACGCTGTATTGATTTTTAACGTGAATCGATTATTTATCAAACATTGCCGACGATTTAAGAAAATGTTAGATAACTAATGATACCGCTTCTGAAATGAATTTATCGAGCCAAATATTAGACTACCTCGAAGGTACGGTAGGGTAAAAAAGATGATTAAATGTAGTTTAAAGCCCATGACGTATGCACATCGAGTAATGTGCAATTAATGTAGCGCGTACCTTAAATCGAAATTAACTCTCGTGCTTATTGAAGGGGATCGCTTTTATCAACATTAAAGAACCCTTTGGAAGCTCAATTAACGTTGCTCGATCTTCTTTTTATTGGCTCTGCATTTTCCAACTTTGTAATCGTCGATAAAAAAAAAAAAAAAAAAAAAAATTAAATTAAAGATGGAAAAAAAATTGGTACCCCTTAAAGAAAGTAAACTAAACGATCTCATTCGTTGAAACGGGGCATTCAAAGTTAATTAATTTACGAGCTATTGCTTTTGTTGCATTTGAAATGAAAGTTGTTTCATTCTTATTATCTATCAAGGGATTCGTTAGGGCATCATTGTTCGGCTAGGACGTCGACAGAAACGACTTTAACGGGCCTTCAAAGTTATTAGCGACGATTCTAGGCATCGATTTTCACATTTATATTATGCACTTTATTCCAACGACAAGTCCAATTGACAGCAAA